GTTCTTATCATGAGAACCAGAACAACGTACACGGCTGAATTTCAACATTACTTGCTTCAGCTGTCCTCAGAACAGTGGAAACCAGAAAACCAATCTGTACTGGGAACAGGCATTCAAACATACCTCGTCACTGGTTTTCTCACTGGAATATCATAAGCTCTAATGATGTTCACCAACAGTTTTATGTCTCCATCAGATAAATTCTGTGCTGTGACCTTCTTCCTTTCTTTTCTTCTTGGTCTTAATGGTCGTTTTGGCTCTGCCAGTTTAAAGAGGCTCAGTCCCAAAATACTAATAATCATAAAACAGATATTTAGTCATTTTTGCATAGAATCCAGCATTCTAGTGTTTCCATGACACACATGCAAATTATGCACTAACAGAAGAAGGAAATATATGCTCCTGTTAGTGCCACACAAAACTCTATGAAATTTCAAAATGTTTTAATTGTTTAGCGCTACACAATCCAGTTCTGTCTTATATTTCAGAAATTCTTAAATGTGCAAATTATTTTTTTTTCCAAAACTAGGTAAGACACAAATATGACAATTACACAGCTTCAAGATAGATCTAAACTACAGTGCTATAAACAAAGTATCTAGCAGGTGAAGACAATCATTGTATGAAATAGGCAAACAGTCTAGTTACACAGCTATGTACAACAAACAATAGGCTACAGAAAGGAAGCTGAATGAATATGCCACAACATACCCTGGACCCTCAGAACTTATAACCCAAGGCAAAGCAGAACCAAAGGAAAAAAAGAGGAAAAGAATAAAAAGCAGATGTATGTTTTTACACATCACTGCTATTAACTGCAGATATTCCAAAATCTACTTCAAAAACTGATAGTCAATGGCATTATTTCCTTATACATAATAAAAAGAAATCACAGTAATTCCTGTTAAAATAACACAAAATTGTGAGTTACTGAAATATCTCACTAAGTAGGTGCTTTAAACAAATGATGGTGGATTTTAAATTCACTAACCATATAAATTAGCAAATAGAATCCAATAAAAATTAGTATTCATGATAGGGAAAATATCTAGCATAGATACGCATCTAGAAGCACTTGATTTTAAACAACTACAAAAGCTGATTATAGTCTCATTCAGATGTTTCCATTCCATGATGGGAAAATACAAACTGAAAAATAGGATGAACTCTTTTGTAAGAGAGCAAGTCTCCGTATCTCCAGTAGATGGGACTGTTTAGATTTATACTGCGGATTGAAAAAGCTTTGGCTGTACTTCAAGTGTGTCATGTTTATAGTGAACACAAACAACTTCAACATGAAAGAAAAAATGATCTTTCCCAACTTTTTTACTTACACAGACTTTAAGTGAGTAACACTAAGAATCATCTATGCTGTGATGACTGAAAAATGTGGAAATCAACATGTATGGGATTTGGAACAAAAATTCAAAGAACGTGCTTGAGTAATAAACCAATACTCTTAAAAGAAAGAAGTAATTTCCAAACCTAGTAACATTTCTGAAAATAAACAGCATATGATGACGGCCAGTAACAGCAAACAGAAATAAATGAGAAGAAAAATTAAGAAAACGACTGTTAAAAAAAATAAATCTATTGCAGGTTATTTGCAGGGCACATGCACTGACTCTAAGTGAGCATCACCTATAAAAACAGTAGTAGTGTTACTACCGCTGATGCTTGTCTGGTATTTGGAAATCATTCAATCTGGCACCAGTTAGGGCTATTCTCAGCTCATCAGATCACAGCCTGACGTGTTGTCTCATACTAGATTTTATTTACCTACTGTCACATTACTTCTGCCAAACCCAGACTTCTTCTTAAGAGTTTGTATGCACTTTGTGTATCAATACATTGTCTGTACTGGAAGGGGTGTACATAGTGATTGGAAATTTATATATTATACTAAACACAAAATCACATCAGCTAGTAATATCAATACACTTTGCAAAAAAAGATCAGAAACGGTCTTACAGTAATTATTTTGATTTACAACAAATAAATACAGCTCCCTTACCCCAAGCTGGGAATCTCCTCTTCATTGACAAGGTCAGAGAGAACAAAATGGTGTTTTGCTACCAGGAAACGGTCTATTACTGATTCTCGAACCTGTGAATGAGGAGGGAGAAGAGTCAAAAGTACATTTCTAATTCAAACCCACTGCAAATACTTACATTCATTCTATTAAACACAAACAAAATGTCCAAATATAAATTCTTTATTTTTTCCCACTTCTTTTAAAAGAGTCATGGTCCAAGGAAAATTTTCTTTCCACTAGATGTTTCTTCAGAACATAATATAAGCTAATTTACAAATACAGTGAGTAATTCTCTAGAAACATACTGGTTAGCCAGACATAAGAACATATGAAAGCATACAATCAGAAAATGAAGTCTTATCTGCTTACAGCTCATCATCAGAAACAATCACAATAATAAATGACATGGACAGACATCTCTTTTCCAGGCCTAAATGAAGCTGCAGAAAAAGCTGTAGAGAAATCTATATGGTATTAGCTATGGGGAATAAAAGCAACACTTTGGACTGCAGAACATTTGATGAAGCTTGTATTACAAATACTATGATTTCAAGTAAGTGTTTAAAATTCTTAGTTCCTTTCATTTCTATGCTGAGGCGCAGAGATGAAAGTCTTCCCTCTACTCCCAACAACCATCTGGAACCAGATTGACAGAGTATTGTCTTTTTCTTTTTTTCCTATCACTAATGCTAATAATGCTTTTATATACTGTGCTGTTACAGGACCAGTTGCAGAACAGCAATAACACACAATTTTCTGCAATACATCCCCCTTTGTTATTTGTAATTTTTTTTATTTAAGTTATTCTTATTATTCTATCCTTGTGTTGAAGTGACAAGCATCTAAAGATCACATTTCAGAGTGAACTGAATTTCAGTGAGCAATCTCATTTTCCAGCACATCTGACTATAAAAGTATAAAATATCCAAATATTATTTTTAAAAAGCTACTTGCATTTTATCTAAAAGAGTGACAAATAAAGGTACCATAATGTATGTCACTCTGTACTACTATACCATTATTCAGTGCACTGCGTCAACCATATGTTTGAGTACACACTTAAATACCATGCAAAGCATACAGGGCTGACACAGACACAACAGCTTTGTTAAAAATATTTTTTTTTATATTATCATACTGAATTTGGGGTTTTGCACTTGCCTGGAAGATTTAAACGCTCTTTTCTGTCTATGATTCTTTTACCAACCATTCTTTCTAACAGATAATTTGTTTTGTCCTACATCAAATCAACCTTATCATCATATTACAAATTTTGCTAGATGGCTAGGATTAGATACACTTTTTGATATTTCCAGTACTGGTAAGAAACTGGTAGTCATGTTTTGCACTTGCTATTTTTCAAAATAGTCTGAAATTGCAATTGGTAATATGATCAATGTTTCCCTGTAATTTTTTTCCTAAGGATTAAAGAAAATATCATCCTAACTGAATGAACAGATTAGAACAATAAATTAAATCCAGATAAGGGGGAGAAGATGTTACTCTAGCACCACAGCGAAGGTCATGCGATGGAAGATAAACCCTCTGCCTTAGGCTGCAGGACAAGATACTCTGTGTTTTGCATTAAATCATTTTTAACAGTGTTTAGGGCCACTTTCATGGAGATAATTACGTTTTTTGCATCACAGCTTGCAAGAAGGAAAATAGGGAGGGGAGGGAAATCAGTGAATACCTCGGACACAAGAGTACAAATCTCTGGGATGCAGGAGCAAAAAAGAATTTACAGAACTGCTAGAAAAATCCAGAATGGCTGGTCATTTTCTATATTGCATCTTTTTCAGTAACAGTAAATGAGTCATTCACAAAACTCCACTTGTTCAATTAGACCAGTTTCAGAACTAATCTGGAATTCTAAAGATGTCTGTAGGTCATGTTTAGAGATTAATCAGCTTTTAGTGTTCATGGAAACACAACATCCAAGTATAGAAGCAACATATGGCCTAGAGAAACATGGTGGATCCATATTTTTTGCATCTTACCTTCTGTAGATAGTTGGCAACAACTGCTCTGTGTGCATCTAGGTAATTTTTGCTGTCAATCACATCCCTCTCTTGCAGTCTTTTCTCATAGTCCTAAAGATATACTAGAGTTTGTGATTCAATATATATTCAGTGCTTTATTACACGCAAGAAAAATGGTAAATATTTCATTAATATTAATGTACGGATCGCAGTGAAACAAAATGTCAGAGGTTTATAAAGTTATTTTTAATGCTAATGTACACAGCAATAGCATTGCTAAACTTCCATGAATAGAGACAAGAATTCCATTAAGTTACGAGATTCATGTGGTTTAAATTACTATGAATAACTTGAAGATTTCCCTGTCTTCTTTTAAAGCTGAACTTTGACCTGCTGCTGTAAACTGAAATTCCATTTGAACTGGAAATGGCTTCTCTTACTGCAGCTGGAGTAGGGAGAACCCTTTATAAACAGAAGCAATGCAGTATTCATGGAAGATAATCTGAACTGTGTTTTAATATACATAACTAGTTTTCGTAGTGTCTGACACTGGAAGAAACTTTACTTGTGGGAGGGTTTGCTGAGAAACATAAATACATAAATTTAGAGCACCTCATAAATTAAGAAGAGGCTAGAGCTGACATGCAGCTTCCAAGCAAAACACAGAGCCTAGAAATGCAGGGGGTCTCTCAGGATCTGCAGCTTAATAGCAGTCTGCAAATCAGGTTGGCTTTAGAATGACAGCATCGTGTAAAAGCTAATCAGTAAAAGTAATATTCAGGTCACTTTGCTACTGTTGTCACTTAGGAGAACATAATTTTTTCCTAAGATAAAGGGTCCAGGAAGCACATTCTGGAAACGCAGTGCTTTGTTATTATTCCACAATAAATCTTTACCTAACTTTTCCAGTGTGTAATTATTACTGTTGAATGACTTCAGATTAGCAACAAAATAAAATAAGAACAGTTCTTCTGAGCCAGAAATCTTAATTTTTAGGCAGATCTAGTAATGACTAAGCTAGAAGTCCAATAATGTGAGTTGAATGTCTAACTGGTACATGCATATGCACTGCTCCCTTCAGAAGTCTTCTTACTGAAATGATTTAAGTACCACAAATCATTAATTAGTACTTGTTAACTGTTAGTAAACTGTTAGCATTAAGTGAGCTTTGAGAAGAAGCAGGAAAAGATGTGTCCAGTTTGGGGCTGCCAGTTCAAGAAGCATGAGGAGAAACTGGATAGGGTCCACTAAAGGACTACTAAGACAGTCAGAGGCCTAGAGTACATGACCTACAAAAAGAGGTCAGAATCCTACAATAATGTAGGTTGGAAGAGACTTCTGGTGGTCATTTGATCCAAACTCTCACTCAAAGCAGGAACAATTCCAATAAGGATGCTCCGGGCCTTTGCCGGTTGAATTTTCAGTACTTCTAGAGATGGCAATTCTACAAACTTGCTAGACAATGTGTTCTAGAATTTGAATATATTCTTTGCGAAAAATGTTTTCAATCTATCTCACTGGAATTTCTCTTGGAGTAACGTGTGTCTGTCATTATCTTGCCTCTAAGATGAACCTCGCTCTGTTTTCTCTGCACTGTCTCGCTAGGTACCTGAAGGAAGCAAAGAGATACCCCTTAGTCTTGCCTGCTTAGGCCAAAACAAACTTAGTTCTTTCAGCGTCTCCTCGGATGTCACATGCTCCAGCCCTGTAGATATTCTGGTAGCTCTGTGCTGGACTTGCTCCAGTATTTCACTGTCTTTCTTGCGCTGGACAAGGTGTTCAACTTAATTAGTCTGGCGAGGAAGAGATTAATGAGCAATCCAATAAATGCTCACAATTATTTGAGGGGCAGTTACAAAGAAGAGAGTGCCAAACTCATCTCTGTAGTTCCAGACAATATAACAAAGGAAAACAGCCATTAAATACAACTTGGAATGCTCAGGTTGGATATGAATTTTTTTTTTTTTTTTAATAGTCACTGGAAGGACAGTGCAGCACTGGAACAGGTTATCCACAAAGGCTGTGGAATCTCTCATTTAGAGGTTTTCATGACTTGGCTAGACAAATACACAGCTGACCTCGTCTAGTGCTGGCAACAGTCCCACCATTTCAGTGGAAAGTAGGACTACATGACCTCCAGACAATGTTTTCCAAACAATATTTCCACAATTCTATGAATTTTCAGACTTCTTTGGCAAATAGCTAGCAATCCAACTAGGAATAATACCACTTTCAACTTAGCTTTGAAGATCATGTCATATAAAATGAACCTCGAACTGGTGACTATAGGTTTATCCAATTTACCCTTAAAAGAAAAAAAAACCCAAATAAAACGATTCTTAAACTGTTGTTTTCAATTTTGAGTGATAACATGAAATGAATAAATTTAGTCTGTAAAATCAACTGGATCAGAAACATGTATCAAAAGATGTGGCACATCTTTAAATAAAAGATATGAAACTTATCTAAAATTTAAAAAGGAAAAATATTTATTGAAAAGAGCCAGACATGACTGGATTAAAAAATATCTTTAAAAAAAGAAATGGAAGAAAGCAATTTTTCAAATAAATTTAAGTAAGAAGTAGGAATGAAGCAGCAGTTGCCAAAACATGAGATGATTCTGATCCTGCTAAGGCAACGAACACACTAAAATGCTCCTTAGCTACATGAATTGCTAAAGAACAAAAGAATGAGCAACTTAACACTAATAATGGAGTTGAGATTAAAAATAATTGAAGCATGACCCAAATAAAAAATGCACACATTGCATTTCAATAAGGTAATTAACAGACAGGCAAGGACAGGGTAACCTAATTGGAACAATGTACTAAACCAGAAATAACTGCAGCATAGGCTGTAGCAAAACATAAAAAGCTTTTAATTCTCGTCAGAGTCATTGCTTCCAGCAGTCTGTACAGAAAGGGCTCAAAAGTTAATAAGCCTAAGCCTGAATTATCTTTGCATTACCTTTCTATATTTTAAATCACCTTTGGAAAAAAAAAAATCTCTTACCTTTAAAAAAAGGTATCTTAGAGCTGCTGAATCTACAGCAGTTGCTGTGTTTTATTTTTCTCCTTCCACAGAATAGCCGTGGAAATATTGCCTTGGAAAGAATCTATCTTAATTAGATTAAAATAACACTAGAAAAGACTGAAGGAATAAAATTACCATTTTTCAAATGTGAGCATAGGTGTACATTCTTTAAGGGACCAACTGACTTAATGCAAGTCAAATATTATTAGCATTAAAGAAAAGAAATATTTAGGTAACATTCTACCTGGAAGATTTTCTCACTGATTTCTCGTTCATGTAAAGGGACTTGCTTATAGTTTCGGAACTCTGCCACCTCCCCACTCCTGAGCTGCAAGAGTCGGAATCTCTTTGATCTATTAAATTCCTCATCAGAAACAAAATTAAATTCTTGCTGCAACTGCTCCAATCTGAAGAAATCAGGAATGCGTGCCTCTCCACTTGTAGCAACCTAAGTGAGTCAAAAAATATGAACCTTTTCATGCAAAGTGACAAAAGTCTATAAAATAACTTTTATAGGTCTTACACGTATATTGCAAGGATGTTAATTTTAAGGAAAAGCAATTGAGATGGATCAAACCACAAATGAAACACTACGTGTTTTAAAGCAGGTTTTTGTTGAGCAAAGTATATGAGATGATACATTTAAGAATACAATAAAATTCTATTTCCTCGTAATATGAGCAAAACATTAAAAATTAGGAAAACTATAACACAGCAGTGTAACCTAGGAAGCTGTACTGTAAAGACGATCCATTTACACAACTTCCACTATATAAATACCTCCTCAGTTTGATGTTTAGAGAAGTCCCAACTTCTTCAATACACTAGATCTCTTTGTGCAGTTGTCACTAATGAGCAACTTCCTATTTAATACCATACAAGTATACTGGGAATACCCCTGCACTTCAAGGAAACAATAAACTCAAAATGCGTATTTTTAAAAAATTTATAAATTCATCAGTTCATGTATTCCCTTATATCAATTTTTCACCACTAGAATACTACTGAATTGATTAATAAATCATACTCATTAATGAATTATTAAACCACTACTAAATAGATTAATAAATAATATTTTAAAAATATTTTTAATAGACATTTTGCTTCTTAACACTCACACAGGTATGTCCATCACAAATTCAAATGCTACTATCTCCCTGGCATGCATGCAGGTTTCCTGAGAAGGTACTGGTGACTGGGTGTTTCACAGCTCCATTAGCCCTGAAAAAGTCACCTACCATGATCAGCTGCATCAGAGCTGCATTGTTCGGGTCATTTGGATCAAGTTTTGCTTCTGCTGCCCACTTAGCTAGCTTCTTCATGTCAGTTAAGCCTGATGTGCCAATGGATGCAATAGCATCAATATTTTTTAAAGCACTAAAAAGACAGAATTGACAGAACTTATACCTAAAACACATATGACAAGCAATATAAAAGAAGTATTTAAAGCAATCTTAGAAAAAAAAGAAAAAGCTCCCCACAACCTGGCCAGTAAATTCCACTACACAGTTCTTAGTTGTAGCTATGCAGCTGAAGGAATGATGAATTGCCAAGGAAAGTAAGGGAGAAATGTGAATGAACTGGTGGAAGGGAACTTTTGTACAAGGTAATAAGGTGTTTATCGATGCATTTATGATACACCTGTAATATACCATGTTGCTGATTACTAGGAAATAAGATGATAACTTGCCTCACAGCATGAAAGTTAACATCAAAGTTTTGACAATCACAAGCATAGTCCTTGCTTGCACTGCCTTAAACCCTGTCTTTGACCTGTCTCCTGGATGGCGCTCTCAGATCTGCTGTGGTCTCTGCCCCGTTCTCTGCTGTTTCTGGATAGACCCTGGGGCCCGAGATGAATCCCCTCGCCATGTCTGGGACTGGTGCCAGCACCCTGCTCTGCCTGTCACATTCAGCTCCTGTAGGACTGCAGAGTGGCTGGTGAGGGCACTGTCTGTGCTGGGACACCTTTGCAGGCTCTGTCTTGTGGTGCAGCCTGGCTTTTGGTCCTCCCAGATACTACAGGTCCCAGCTCCACTGTTTATCCTTTGGATGCTCCTGCTCACTTTCTTGTAGCCGCAATAGGCAAGGAAGTATGGTAGGTAGTCTGGAGGCCATTTGTACACTGACTTGTTGGCCAGGCTTCTGGCATTTTCTCATAAAAGCCACCTCTAAAGTCCTACTGCTACCAAAACTTCACCATGTAAACCACATACAGCAGGACATGCACGTTGTTAGCCAAATATCACAGAAGGTAAATGTTGCCCCTTCTCTTGTTCAGGGTGCCAAGTGGAGTCTTTGTTTTCTACTTATCTGAATCTTTTCAAGAAAGCTTTAAGAACTCATGGATCTTTCTCGTGTTTGGTTATAATCAGCCAAATATCCAGCAGTTACTGGAGCAGCAGATAAAGCGGTAACATCAAGGTTCTTGAACAAACGCACGCTGAACCACAATTGTGCTGAGAAGCTAATAGGCAGCAAAAACTAATTTTAGGCATGAAAATCTTGTCTCTGATTTTCACAACAGACAATGGAAATTCACAGACGGCTGTTCAACTTCAGAGGGTGATTCAAATAAGAGTGTTTTAGAGCTAACTTCCTTCTGAAATTCACCATTTTTCCACTTACGACAGTGATTAATCTCCCAAGTTTACAGTTAGCCTTTGGGAATGCATCCTTATGTTTTAATCTCATGCTATTCTAGTCTCATTGAAGTCAGCAGGTTACTCATATGCTGATCAGAAAATTACTTAATGGCTGCAGCTTGGGTCAAAAATAGGAAGAGTGATTTGGATGCCAATGTCTAGTTTTAATAAATAAAAATCTGTCAGAGTCTAATAGCTAGAAGAGGTACTTGCTCAGTGTTAATAAGTACGGGAAAACTCTTAAGGCATTACTGTGAAGTTACCTGTGGACATTACGAAAGCAGACTAAAATCTATTTACCAAAAATGTGTACCCTAAGATACCTCCAGGGGGTTACAGCACAAAGTAAAAGATCTAAACTTAAGGAAAAAGATTATGAAAATCCTTGATTATGAAAGTCCATTTTTTAAAAATACTAGTAGAATCAGTTTACCATGAAAAACTGAAAATTCATATCGTATTACCTTGGAATGACTATGTTTTGCTGAGATACTGGAGGAATTAAGGGGATTCCTTTTTCTCCAACTGCCCAAGAGACACTATTGGATACTTTCCCAGAGGTCATTAAAGTCATTCTGTTGCTACCATCAGCTTCAAATGAAAACGACACACCTATCAAGGGAGGAAAAAACCCAAAGTAGTATATTTATGCATTCAAACACAATGTCTAAACCTTTTAAAAAATACTTCCTGAAGATAAGTAGTCAAATAACATGTGTTTTTTATATAATAAAGAGGGTAATGTGAAACAACTTGATTCTGCTGCATGCTGTGGGGAAGGACTCTGCTCTACAAAAGGAGTGAAAGATTCCATTCCGCCAACAGAAAGGCTTTCCATTTGGAAGGAAAGGCTTTCCATTTGGAAGGAAGGAAAGGCATGCCTTGAAACCTATGCCAAAGGGTTTTTTTTCCTTCACAGATGCACACTATTTAATATTTCTGGTAGTTTTCAGATTCAGCATACTGTTATTAGTGAAACAGAAATTCAGAGTCAAAAGAATTATGCATGACTGAAAAGTCAGTCCTAAAGCTTTGTTATACACAATTAGTATATACAGTCATCATGGTCAATTACATTCACACAGAATTTACTCTGAAACTTTCACCAGCCCGTTACTGCTACATGCTTTCAGCAAAATGAGAAACACTGAACTGAGAAAGACTGAGAGCCCCTACCACTCCCAACTCCTTCATGGTCCAACGTCACACGCTGATTGCTGCTGAACTCTATTTCTTCCATAGGAGCACTACCTGTCAGAACTGTAGTCTCAGGAACGGGTATGAACACTTCAGCCAACAGGGTGGTACTGCTCATACCCGTTGTTTCATATATCTAGAAAAAAACGGTGACAGACATAGTAAAAAATTTACACAAGTATTCATGAGAAGCTGAAAACATATTGTAGGGTATTTGGACAAAAGGTTTTACTAGGACTTAAGCATGAAATAATTCATTTAAGGCAATTGTATTAATTTACTTTCCGAAATACCCAATTAGCAGGCATTTCCGCTACCAGCAGCTAACTCAGTCTGAATTCTTCTTAAAAGAAGCATGCACCTGAAAATAGTACAACAAACTCTAGGCTTTAAAGAGCATCACTGTGCAATACGCAACTGCTTATGACAGTTACTGGCATCAGGTGAAGGTGCCAGAGGGATTCTGCGCCATTAATTCTCCCTTACCACAAAAGGCAGGGTAAGGCACACAGTCCCTGTTCTGGCAGTACTGCAGGCTGCTTCTCTCTTTCCTGGCCAGCTGCAGGCTCAGAGTGAGGCGAGTGATTTCTTCATTGAGATGTTTTTAATCCAAGAAGATAGTATTCTTTTTCCCTTTCAATTTGTGTTACATAAATGGAGCAAGTGAGGGGTATACACCCTCCTCTGACCTACCAGTGATAAGTTACTAACAGGAAAAGTCATCTAACAGGAGATGTAGGATCGTGACTGTGTTCCTCCTAAAAATGTATTGCTCTGAAAATTATTCATGTGATTCACTCATTAATTCGTACTTGGAATGGGGGTGGTGGTAGTTTAACTTAACTGCACTGTTGATCTCAAGTCATGTGGAGTTATGGACTAGTTAGCAATGAATTTTCTTCTTATGCTCCTCCAGCAAATATCATGATGATATTGCTGATACTGATATTTGATATTGCCCCATCCCTGGAAGTGTTCAAGGCCAGGTTGGATGAGGCTTTGGGCAAACTGGTGTAGTGGAGGATTTCTTTGCCCATGGAAGGGGGGTTGGAACTAGATGATCATTAAGGTCCCTTCCAACCCAAACCATTCTATGATTCTATGATTGTACTGTGTAGGCAATAATGGTTTAAGATGACCATTTTAGCATGGTTATCTGCAATATAAATCAGTTTTTCTAAAATTAAGAAGCTGCTCCCCTAACATAAACACAAGTCCCAAGTAATTTAATTTCCCCCATGCAGCCCATAGTCCTGTTATATGCAACACATATCTACATAAAAACTGTATCTATGAAGCACAAAGCGTCAAAAATGTAGCAGTAAAGATGAAAGTTTGTGACGGGAGAAGCAAGGAAGGGGTATATAACTGATGATTTACAAAGGGTTTTCACAGGTTTTTCAGTCTTTACAACACTACCACAGAGGAAAATACAAGCATTACAGGAGTAATTGTATTTCATATTATCTTTTTAAAAGTTACTATGATAAGTCATTATCTACCTGTAGTTTCAAACTCTCTGGCCAATTGAATATTTGTAAATTGAAAATCTGTCCAAAGTGAACTCTGAAATCAGAACTTATTGGTCGGGTAACAGTCCTTGATACTTCTTTGGAGTTGAAAAGGACCTTTATAAATGCTGAGCGTTTCTTTACATCTTCTCGTCGCAAAACTTCTGCTCTGTAAATATGTCAAACAAGCTGTCATGTAATTTTTATTAAATATAACTAAAAAATAAAAATGTTATTAAGAATCTGATTCCTCAAGAGGAAACAGAAGTCACCTAAATAAAGATTATGTTCTTCTAGAAATGTCACTACAAAACTATTATTTAACAGTTTTATCTTCTCATGAATATAAAAAGATTTAAAAACTAACAGGTCAAATTTTAGATCCCCTAAAGCCACCTCCATATAAAAGGAGTTATTTAGGGAAACAAAATTCCATTCTACTCCCTTCCTCCAAAGCACAACAAATGATATCAAACTGAGTTAAGATTTTGAAGTTTTTAGTCATTGGGAGTAGAACAGCCAAGCAATACTCCTTGATGATGCTATTTGCTGAATAAATACAAAACAAGGCAGTTTTTAACTTGCTGAAATCTGCTAGATGTATGTTAAATTGCATGTGTAAATGAGGAAAGTAGCACAAACAAGTAAATTTATTTATTTTATCCACAGTGAAATTTCTGATTTACTACATGATTTCTTTATTTTCCCTTTGTTGACTAGAGCACAGACCTGGTGTAAAGAACTAGCTAGTGAGAGTGGCACTGCCAGAAGTGACTCTGAAAACGTCTTTATATATACACTGTTCTGTGCAGATGCTCAAGAAACATCAGAAGGTTCGAAGAGAATGTGCAGACATACCTTCTCCAAGGCCAGTATATGCAAGGTTACGTGTGACTTGAAAAAGAATTAAGTTACATCAGTTTCAGAAGCAGAAGTTTTAAAATTTTTATCACTAGCCTAAATGGAATGATGAGGACATGCTTCTGAACTTGTACAAACAATCAATTAACAAATAACAGCAGAGAATCATGATAAAAGTATATAACAACAAAGTAATTTGCAGGCCAACATTTATCTTACCGAGGACACAGCTCAGTTGGAGTTATGCTTCCTGACAGGACCAGCTCAGGAATCAGAGCAGGCTCTCCAGGTTTCCGTCTGCAGTTGTCAGCTTTTTCTCTAACTTGCTGCTCTATTTCCAGGCTATTGGCCATTTTAGGTGGGATGGGTTTTACACGTTCCTGGCCAAGATCATAATCTTCTACTGATTCTTCATCTTCATGAACGTCTTTTTTCTTCTTTTTCTTCTTGGACTTCTGCATATAAAAGTAATAATGTTCTTCCTGAACTTGTTTCAATCAGTAGAGTTTTTTTCTCTTGTTCTCTTGATTCACAAGCAGCAAGCATGTATAAGAAATGACTGTGTAATTTTAAAACCATCACACACAAAAATAAGATTTCTCTCATTCTATAGTACTCAGATTCAAAATTCAGCAATGCATTCCATTCATACGCTTCAAAACCATAATGTGCTTAAAAAAAAAAAAATTACTTAACCTCCCAACCAACTTAAAAAAGAAATGTGTTTCTTGAACATTCTAGTTAGCATCTGACTTCTCATTTAGCCTGAGTTACCATGTGCATTGTTAGGATTGATAGAAGGTTACTCAACCAGTAGACACAGTTCTTCGAGATGTATTGTTTACATGCACATTGACGAAGTGAATGCACATGTGCCACAAACTTTGGAGCACAAGCTTTTTAGCTTAACAGTATCTTTAGCACGAGCAGAATGATCCTCTCCCTTCCTCTATGCCAAACCAAAGAATAAACAGAACACCACATGCCTTTCAGCATCTCCTGAACTGCAGAACTCCACCATTCATGTGCATGTTCAGCTTTAAACAACTGCAAGCAAGTTCCTCCTTCCGCAGACTTACAGATTACTTGGAAGCACGAGCCACTTCATGATTTAAGATATCATAAGCAAAAGAGGAGGAGGTAAGAAAAGCAAATAGTTTCTGCTCACTAACTGAAGTATTTAGCCAAACAACTTGTTCACATATTTTTGTTACTAAATAGTCTTTCTTTCTTGGCTTAATTTTGTGTTACTCTTGTTGTTCCTGTATTTCCTTTTAAATTTATCTAGTCTCTTCTACCTCTAGTGTCTTCCTTAGACTCACATGATCTGTGCTAGTAAGACACCAACAGCAGTGATTAACCAACAAAGTACTTTGAGTGTACATAAAGTACATAAAGTACTTCTGGGCATGAAAGGAAGGTCTGTGTCCTACGCTTCACTCTAAAGGGAAACAACCACCATCACCTCAGTCTCAAGACAGTTTGTGACTAACGCAATAAAAAGATGCTGAGCGCAGCTTTGGCTGGAACTCCCCATCACGGTATTTGTGAAGGCGTTCACTGGCTACAGGTAGATGAACAGTTCCTATTAGGATCAATGATCAAGACTATCTGCCTTCATTTTTAGGTTTACATTTATTCATCTTACCCTACAAGTGAATTGACATGATGCTAATACATCATGTGCTCAGAGTGTTCTAGTAACAGGAATTTCTAATACTGGCAGATCAGTTTCCCCTCCAACATCTTAAGTGCCTTCCACAGATGCTGCTACATGAAAAAACTTCCCGTAAAAGCATCAGCAGATGCACTAGATTCTTGAAAACTATATTTGAAACATTTCCTTAAACTTTATTTTGCTTTGTTATCCCAAACCCCCCAGTGTTTAAACTGGACAGTAATTATATTCAAGTAGAATTACCATTACCCTGGGTATCAGTACATCGCCACGTAACTATAAAAGTAAGTCTGATTTTGCTGGCACTGCTACGGGCTATTTCAAAGATCACCCTGTTGCAGTGTATTGTTCTAGCTCCTGGATTTGTCAACATCACCTTGAAGCACAACTGAGACCTTAACTACAGTACAGATTATTAGCAATAAAGCTTTTCAGAGGCAAAAGGCTACAATATTAATTACATTTTTCAGTTCTGGGACATTCCTGAAATTTACATGAGATGACATCAAGTGCTTGTTCATTAGTAACACCTCATAATTATGTTGCTTCACCACTCACACACACAAAATTCATCCATGATTTTTTTTGCAAGAAAGACATAAATTTAATGGGAATACTGCAAAACTATTAAACGTAAAGAAAGAACTGCTGAAGTGCTGAAAATCAACAGCGGGAAAACAATGCTCCACAAAAACCTATCAGATTTTAATTTTTTAATAAACAATTAATTTACTAACAAATTCTAAGTAGAGAGAATGTATCCAAATACATTACAAAATTTATGCATAACTATCCTGAAATTGATTTTTTTTTTCTGTATTAGAAGGACAAATTTTGAACACATTTAGTAACAATTTTATTTTTTGTGAAACTGAATGATTTAAACAAACCTGTGTCTTCTTCCAGGATTTCCACTCTTGTAGCTCAGTTTTATACTCCTCCATTTTCTTTTCATAGTCTTCCATACATTCTTCTAGTAATTCATTTATCTCAGCCTGAATTTCTGCTTCATATGCCTTCTCATCTAGTCTCTGATCAACCTCTTCCCTTCAAAACAGTAGTTAACCAACATGTTGCATAAATTAATATAAGGGCTACAATTAAGTCTATAATATAAGTCTGCTTCTCCACGAATTCATTTCATTATCTCAAAAGTAAGTTCTATTTAAAAATACCAGCACAGATAGTCTAAGAGTTGATAGCAGTTAGTTACCATCCAGAATGTATATAATTACTTTTTCTTTACTCATTAGCCTTTAGAAATTCCTTTCTGTCAGAGTAATTACTTGTGACATTAACCTTCCTTCCTCCCCAACTCAAAAAGAATACTGGCAGGCTCAACCAGTGCCAGACACTACTCAGATTCTTACTTTTGCACCCTTCACATCAGAATTTTAAGTTCCCAAATTGACTAATCTTGTTAAAATTCCACTGCTGGCAAATGAAGTACAAAAAGTGTTATCAAAACATACTTCCTCAGATAAAGTTTCATGGGTGTGTTAGTAAACTTCTGAAAGTCACGGAGGGATTTAATTTGTTTCCAAACTTTTATAATGGTCTTAAGCAACATTCTGTCTTTTTCTTGTTCAGCATCACGAAGTCTTCTGGTTTGCCTGGAAATATATATGCATATGCACAAAATCAATCAGAATTGTATAACGCAGTGGAATAACAGAATGAAAACATGCAATACCAAAAGCCAAGTGATGAGAGTTTCAATGTGATTGATAGCTGCAGTGGTTTAAATCCAAGAAGCATAAAACTCAGACTTGAAGATGGCAGGATTTGATTTCCTTCTGTACTCTAGTTTTGCATTTTGGACAGTTTGATTTCAATTACAGTTAATTCTCTAGAGATCTTAAAGTTTTCTGAAATGCTTATTACAGCTGTACATCATTAAAAACATTTTAAAGTCAATTCCTGTAAACAACAGCCCACGAAAACTACACTGCTGCTATGAAGTAATGCTTATCATAATTGTACATTACAAAATATGTTTTAAACTCAACATGCTTCTAGCTTCAGTAAAAGGAACTTGCAGAGATGAAGCAATGTAGCAATGTATGAAGTAATGTAAGTCCTTTGACAGCCCTACAAGATTCTCAACACAAAAAAATATTAGCAGGGTTGTGTTTTTTTTTCTCCGCAGAATTGGTATTTCACATTTCCACCCTCTAATCTGTTTGAAAAAGAGCTATTCATTAGCACTTTTAATGACCAACACACACTTCCAACGTAAATGTCTATGCAGCACAAGCACAGACTGTTTCCAGTACTATCCTGGCAGCTAAACATGTCTAGTAAAAACAATGAGATTTGAAAAAAAAAAAAAAAAATTAAAGATGTAAACTAACACATTACTACTTGTAATACTCAGACAATATAGAAGACAGGGAGGCTGAGTTAGAGCTGAGAGAAGAAATACATCATAGATTATTTAAAAGCATTAGCAAATTTAGTAAAAACAATAAAAAAAGATGAAACACAGACTTTCCGGAAAGCAATGAGTAACTTCTCCACTTCATTAGCTAGCAATTTGAATATTACTTATCCATGCAGCTTAACAATCTTTTCTTCTTTGTCTACCAGATGAAGCTAGAAGACAAAGCTTAAAGACATGAGAACATATAGGTCAGTAATTACACTTATCTAATGTATTCAGTTTGGAAGCAAGATCTTTCAGTAGAGAATCACCTCTGCTGAAACACATCCGCCAGAAGAGCCTGAAATCTGCAATCCGCAGCACATGTTGGCTTCCTTCTCAGCAAATGAGGACAGTAGGGCTGAAATTGCTAATTTGCAAGAGTTTTCTGCATTCAGATGACATTTCGTCCTCAAACTGATGGAAAACTACAGCTCTGATCTTCAGACAGCAAAGAGTACACATCAGTTATGTTATTGGAGGGTGGAGGAAACAATTAGATTATTTTCTATGCTACACTCTCTTCGCATCTGTCATTTCTCATGAGTGTACTACATTGACCACCAGGGAAATGCCACGTTAAAAGAGAGACAAGGCAGGTCAGATGTTTTTACGAACATATGTGGTCCAAGTTAGTATTAAACACCGTAACAGTAAAAATTCCCGAGGCCATCTGAGCTTCATATGTGTAACAGCTTCCAACAACAGAGCTGTAGCCAGAAAGAATTACAGATATGAAAAGCCCTAGAATACTCCCAGCCAAGCTCATCTCATATTACTTACTCAACACTGATCTCACTGATTTCGGCTGAGTTTCTCCTGATTCATAACCATGTGACACTAAACTAAAGCACTCAAGACCTATAAAAACACTTCAGATGTCCAGAGGAATATTCTATCTAGTCAGAATTAACCATCAAGCAAGCCTCAGGGTTGGTGCCAAAATCGAAGAATCTCCTTCCCACAGTGAATCTTCTTGTTACTATTCTCCTCTTTTCCCTGGTGAGAGCTCCTGTCTCCAAGGTACTTTATGGTAAACACACACCTGCTCCTAGCCCTCTAGCAGATGCGTTAAGAATATATTAATAAAACCCACTCCTTTTTTCATGGAAAGAAGACTTTGTCTTTCAGTATAAAACAAGACACTATAGACTTCTGTATGTCCTGCACAGATACCAATGTATTACAAGACAACGTACTCGAAGGATGAAATTTGAAGAAGCAATTCCCAAACTATGAGTAATGAGTGGATGTGCAAGCGTAAGCAGCTGTAGATTTCAAGGCTGAACGTAGAATTGTTATTTAAAAACCCGATTTTCAAAAAAGTATTGTATTATCATTTGACCCATTACATCAGTCTAAACTTGTTTATTTGAATTAAAACTTAATTGCCTACTTTCAGATTGTGAAAAACTTTCAGATTTTTAAGCATCTACTAGTTAAAAGGCTGTTCAGCACGGATCTCCAAAATAACTTAATTTTTATCATATTGCTTATACTTACAGCTCACCACTGTCCTTCTGCCAAAAATAATACTTTCACTACCAAGTCAAAAACTGTAATATATTTTTACTACCCAGTTACTGTCCAAGAACAATAACTGTAATCTTGTAAAACAAAATTCTACCATTTAATGTATATTAACCCACTGGCAAAAACAAGGCCAAAATACCTAAGAATGGGAAGTGAATCAAGAACACTTGTGTAATGAGGAAGAAGATGGAAAAAACTAGGAGGTTTGTTTGTTCAAAAAATTACGTCACTTGCATTGTTGTGAGTGTTTCATGCACCCAGCTGATGTCTACTGAAACTTCAACTAAATTTTAATTGTGCAAAACACACTAGTTACTAAGTAATTAATAAAATTTAATCAAATTAGACCACTTTTGAATCGAGATTTCTGATTAAGCTATATTTTCTTCATAATTTTTTTACTCAACTTACCAGTAAAAACCCTTAGGCCCTCAAAACTTTTATAGCGCTATTTACAGCAGAATTTAGAAGTCTGATATGAATCATACTGTGTACCAGCATGGAAAGCAAAAAGGAATACAGTTTTAAAACGCAATGATTTAATGAATCCACACCCACCTGATCTCAACTTTGTAATCAAGTATGCTCTGTTGTGCCACAGGGCTAGGAACACCAGCATCACCACCATCTATACCACGTTGCACAGCATTCCTCAAAGCGTGCAGCTTAAACGAACAAACAAACAATTAACAGATGGTTTGACATTTATGAGGCATACAGTGTAATGCAACTTGACATGAAAGAGCTAGTTACTATACAACAGAAAACTCGGAACGGTCTTGATTCTGTATTTATTTACAGGGTTTTGCCATGTCTGTGAGGTGCCGATTCTTCAAGATGAAATTTTATTTAGGATCCCTGGACATATGAGGGAGATTTACTGACTTTGATGACTCAAAGATCTAAACAAGGGGACAAGACTAATCTAGGGATTATTCTGAAAGCTTAGCAATTAAAGGAGTAGGAGGAAAAAAAAAAAGTGAGTCTGCCAAAACCACACCTTCTATAAAAGTTTTTTGGGACTAGAAAGGGCCGCTAAAGGTAACCCTAGAAAATTAATAAACAACAAAAACGAGTGGATTGTGGACTTGATGAGTGCCTTACAGAAGCTGCGCAGCTTGCAACAAAGCATTTTAAACAAAACATATTGCATGTAACAACTGGAAGAGGAGAAAGTCTAAGGACACGACAGAACTGGGAACAATGGTACAGCTCAAATGCACTTTTGAAGCCATACTGTCAAGATAAGAGGCCACCTCTTCAACTAAGATCTGAAGACAGGCATCAAATGATTACATGAAAGATGGAGAATGCAAAAACATACATGGCTGTGAAGATAAGAGAATGTAAAGGATTGGCTAGGAGAAAAGAGAAAAATAAGGAAGATCAGTAGGACAGGAACAACAATTATTGTGTTGCTGTAGATCTCCTTAAGGATAATACTGAATGCAAAATCGGAATGGCTAATGGCACTGCAGGAGACGAAAGCAACTACATTCAAAGTAGAAGCAATGACATTACAAATCAAGGAATGAAAATTTTTTAAACAAATCTATCAAACTGGAGAGGCAATCTAACTGGAGAGCAGGAAGCACACAGCTGAAAACATACATGAGCAACCACAAAATGAAACTCACTGGTACAAAAAAGATGTTGAAAGAAATTTTGAAAGAAAGAATAACTGAATACACAGAAAGCTGCTAGTATCATCTGAGGCACAGAGAGCACGTTATAAAAGGAGACAGAAAGTGCAGTTTCTTTAGCCTGCCAAAACGGGGGCTGAAAGGTGATACATTTTAAGACATGAAGAGCAAGCGTCAGAAGTGGACAAGAAGAAGTCCACTGGGACATGGCAAGGCAGGGAGGAGAAAAGTGAGGAAGAGTGGTTTAGGCTTAAGAACAACTTGGCTGCAACAATCTGAGCATTAAAAAATGACTGTTAGAGGAGACAGGTTTTAAAACTGCCTGTCAGTAGCAGAACGGTGTGGAAATCCCTTCCACACATAGGTTCCTGTAATGCAGGCATGGAGAACTCAAATATCCTATTTCACCGTTTCATGAAAAACTAAAGCCAATCCTTCAAAAGTAATGACAGACTAAAGTATACCAAAGAATTATTTTGAGACACTGTATGAAATACTTGTCCAGCGTTAGAACTATAACCTAATGCTTTACACTAAAATTCAGATGTATCTGTACAGCACCTACTGACCCTCATTACAGTAATATAAAAATGACCTTGCATACAGTGACTACTTTTCCCTTAAAACAGCTATTTAAGGCAGAGAATTATCATCACTTTTAATTTATGAACTTATGTTTATGGAATTTATATCCGTGTATTTAATAACCAAATTAATTTTTAACAGACCAGCCCTACTACGTAGAGCTATGTCATATCACAATATCTACCTCATATTTCTAAAGAATTGTTATCCTTTCAGATTTCAAAAGCCTTTCAAAATGCTTTAAAAATGTGCTTTTGCACCCTGATACTAGGAATGTACTAACAATGCCTAACGTACATGTATGAATTTACACCAGAGAAGACCACTACCATCACTTCCAATGTACAGATGGAGGAAGAGTGATGACACGCAGCGGGTAAGCAGCCCAGCCAAGGCCATCCAGCGAGGCAGTAACGGAGCCAGGAATAGAAAAATCTACGTTCAGCCAAGGGCGTTGCTATGCCACAAGAGTGACACAGTAAATGTGCCAACAATGCATTTAAGACAGAGCATCTGTCACAGATAATATACCTGGAAACATGTCATCAATTTTTGTAGAATTTGAATAAATTAAACTGCTTCCTTTTACTTTTAATCAACAACTAAAACTAAACTTCACTAACTTCCCTCTGTCCTCGAATACTGACTTTTGCTGTCTGCCTGTTGGAGCTGCTGTACACAATCCTGTCAAGTCTTATCTGTCATTCACTGGCAAACATTTTGGGTACTCTAAGGAATACTACGTAAATGCTATTGTATTCTAACAATTATATTCCCTTTACAGCAGAATCTGCACAGAGTAAATTTTAAATAGAAGATCAAAGAAATCCATAATCCTAAAAACACAGTTGTGCACTGAACACACAGCAATCTAGATGAAACACTTAGGTTTTTATCTTCTGACAAAACGCTATTCATTGCATATAATTAGAATGTCATCACTCCCCTCTAAAGAAACAAATTCAGCTTTTACCTTAAACTGTCACATCACTACCTCAATAAACTATGACGACACAACAGAAATACCTTGTCTGTGAGAAGTTCGCTAAGATTCTTCTGTTTCCGTGCTAAATACTGATCATATAACTGAGCCAATTTAGCCACTAGCACATGCTCACGGCTAAAACAGGGATGATGGGTGAATATCAGTCCAGAAATATCAATATCCAATTGAAATGGCCCCTGAAAATCTCCAGGTCCAACAAGATACTGATTGGCAGCTGTCATTTTTATTGCCTGAAAGAAAAAAAGAATAAAATGGATTTACAAGCCATGACAAAACTATCTTGCAAAGAGATCCTGTGACAGCAAATGACTCATTTAGTACTGCCTATATCTAATTACTGAGTCTTAAACTGTAACAGCTTCTGCAGTAACCTCTTTACTTTGACAAGTGGGTGGCATAAAACCCCCACGGGTATTCTACAGAATGGAATTTTGATAGCCGATATGAGGCTGGAATAAGAAGTCACCTGCCTGTGCTGCAGGTTTTGCTGAGCAATGAAGATGGTGATACTGAATTGGAAAAAGAAAAGCCTGCTAGTTCTCTTCTTACCTATTTGTTTAGTATCGCTTTATTTCCTCTTAGAACTGAGCTCTAGGATAAACAGATCAGCTCTCAGAGAGCAGCTTTCCTTGTAGATCATCTGGATTGTGCAGAAGACAAAATATGTTCTTTGTTTCTCCATTCTAATGCCAGGGAAATTCACACCAACAAAGCCCAGTGAAAGCTTTCAGCAACAAAGCTTGAAGTCTGCTTCAACCTGCTGCAGCTGAAAGGCAATCATGGCTTCTATCCTCAGGCTACTGAAATTAGAAGAGAATTAGTAGTGCTTCCAGCCTGTCTATTGCTGCCACCCTCTAAAGATTCTCTAAAAGAGATTCATAGAGATATTCTGGCTCCATAAAAGATGAAGTTGTTAGTTATGTAGTGTTCGTCGTAGCTCCCCTTCATAAGAACTGGAAAAAGGGGGATTGAGGGGAATCCAGCTGTTGCATAGCTCTTTTACAGGACTGGTATAAATGGCCTTGAAATTAAGTCCACCTCATCCTTCCACATTCAGTTTCTCATCAAAATGTTTAATATGACATAAAGGACCCCTAAGCTTAATGTCTTAATTTCAACAGCGATTTGGGTATCTACATGTCACTATTCATGTAAACATGGTGCTCTTGAAAGATAAGCTCTCCTGGACTACCTTTACTAAGATCTAAGCAGAAACCTCTTTTCCTGTATGCAGAAACATCCTGCAAAGATCTGTGGTACTGGATGCACACTGAGAATTGCGTATTTGCAAGCGGCATCAATTAAAGGGCAACATTCAAATCTGCATCAACGGCAGCAGACAGAAACATTGTGTGTCCCAAAAGAGCAATCTACTTTAAAGTCTAAAAAGTCACAGTTTTTTCAAGGGGGCAATAGAGTGCTAACAAGCAGAACAATTAAAGCTTGCTTAAAGCTTGCTGAATGGTTTTAATTGAAACTTATTTTGATTTGTACTGACTGCACACTGCAGATGCTGCCTGCCAGAGCAGGTATGCTGTGGTTGAGAGAAAAATTAAAAAAAAAAAAAAAAAACAACAAAAAAGACATTAACTGACGCAACAAAACTCAAAATTACTTGCTTTCTACATGAGCAAACTGCATGTAAAGATTTCTTTTGGAGGCGTTTCATCACTGTACAATAACGATCACTCACATGCCCTTCAGTTATTTCTCATTTAAGCTGCAGAGAGCACCTCTGTCCTGATCGCCAAGTCTATCTACCAGCTTCTACCACGAGGAGCTTTACAGATACACTAATACAGGAACTACGCTACTTTGGCATGAGAATATACATGGGTGTCTCACAGAGCCCTTGGTGACTCACAGACTTGAAGCAGTTTGTCATGGACCATCACTTTACTATTTTAACCAGTACTACTGGCTAAACTCTTCATCCGTTCGTATGCGTTATTTTCACAGAAAAACACAGGTGGAATGTACTTGAAAAAGGAGAGCACATTTAAAGACTAGTTGTGGAACCCCAAAAAGCAGTCAGTACTCATAGCTCTTAGCACAAAACCCTTCAGATCACCAGAGGTTTTGTTACAGAAGAACAGGGATATTGGGTCTTAGGAACCACACATATGAAATACGCCTACCTTTCTATACACCGTTTCAAGTTCTGGTGCAATGCCTTCTTCCAATGAGAATACTGGAGGCCTAGTAGAAGACTGTTTAATTGGATTAGGTAATGCTAAGATTTTACCATCGTCACCAAACCATTCTTTCCCCTACAAATAAAAAGATAATTTTATATTGTTTCTTACTTTATATAGAAATTACTTGCAAAGTTATAATTGTTATGAAAAGCAATTATGAAAGAAAAGGTGACTATGAACTGTTTGTGACTGAATTAACCAAAACTTTTCTAAGACACCAAAATGAAATCTTCAAATACACTATAGATAAGCTTTGAAATCCAAAGATCAAGAGCTTGCTCAAACTTTAAATATACTCAATTTTTGCCTTCGACATTTAGTGTTACAGATTTGAAAGATAAAAAAAAAATCAACACTTACATCACTTAACATTTAAATGTCACGTTTTCTTAAATCATTGAAATTGAACGAATTTTAACGTTTTACATGACTGCCAGCCACATCTTTAAATTCGATTATAAAAATCATAAAGCAAAGAATTAAAGAGCTAAATGGCAACTCAGAGACATCATTTATCAAAGCATCTCTCAACTCTTCTAGCCCACAATCTGAACTAATTAAACAGCATTGATGAAAGTAGCAGAGGTAAGTATCTTACACACCAATTGCTATCCATAGCTTCACATGTTAAACATTGACCTAATTCATCCCGCTGCTCTCATGACCTGGATTCAAGAATAGCTTAAACCAGTGCAGATGCTGAAAGGGGCATGCCCTCTTATTCCCACACTCGGTTTAAGATGACCCTAGAATCACAGAATGGTTTGGGTTGGAAGGGACCTTAAAGATCATCTAGTTCCAAGCCCCCTGCCACGGGCAAGGACACCTTCCACTAGATCAGGTTGCTCAAAGCCTCATCCAATTGGGCCTTGAACACTTCCAGGGATGAGGAAGCCACAACTTCTTTGGGCAATCAGTTTCAGTGCTTCACCACTCTAATCGTAAAAACTTTCTTCCTTAAATCTAATCTAAATCTCCCCTCTTTCAGTTTAAAGCCATTGCCCCTTGTCTTATCACTCCATGCCCTTGTAAAAAGTCCCTCTCCAGCTTTCTTGAAGGACTCCTTTAGGTACTGGAAGGCTGCAATAAGATCATCCTGGAGCCTTCTCTTCTCCAGGCTGAACAGCTCCAACTCTCTCAGCCTGTCTTCATAGCAGAGGTGCTCCAACCCTCAGATCATCTTCGTGGCCCTCCTCTGGACCTGCTCCAACAGGTCCATGTCTTTCTTGTGTTGGGGACCCCAGAGCTGAATGTAGTATTCCAGCTGGGGTCTCACAGGGAAGAGTAGATGGGCAGAATGACCTCCTTCAAGAACCGAACATTGATGTGGTAAGGCTGCTCCGGCAACCAAACCCTACACAGTCTCTCACTCACCCTCCCCCAGCCCCAGGGATGAGGGAGAGAATTAAAAGAGAAACGGGAAACCTGTGGGTTGAGATAAGAACAATTTAATACAGCTGAGTAATACACAGTATAGATGCTCACCACCCCCTCTTATCCGAAGACCGTCTCGTCCTGAAGCTGCAATCCCAGATGAACGCGAGGCCCCGAAATAGAGAGGGAGAGAGAGAGATAGTACTCTGAGAGTGGGAGTACTGGAAGAGAGAGAGGGGGAAAAAAGGCAATAGGGCAAAAGCGCAGAAGCGCGAAAGAGCAAAAGCAGCGAAAGGGCAAAAGCGCAAAAAGCCCTTCTTTCCGGCTGTCCCTCACTTTCATACTGGGCATGATGCTGCACGATATGGAATACTAATTGGCCAGTTTGGCCCTCAATCTTAAGTTCCACCACAAATCACAAGGGGAATCGTGGCCCCCTTGTTCCAGTTATGCTCCCCCCTTATCCCACCATGCCTCTGCACTCCGGCCAGCACACGGCACACTGAAAAGTCCTTGGAGTTTCACTTCCAACAACAAACATCAGCTTGCTATCAACATTCTTCTCAGAGCGAGCCTCTGAGTAAAACCAAAACACGGAGCACTTCTAGCTGCTAAAAAGAAGAGCTAACTCTGTCCCAGCTAAAACCAGGACAGGTAACATGGTGAAGCAAACCAGAAAACTAAGTGGGTTGATGCTGGCCAGTTAAAAAATTTAGATCCAAATATTCCCAATCTGATTCACAGAAGTACCTCTGCTAGCCCACAGAGAATTCACACAATCATAATAAAATATAAAGGACAATTGCTTGTAGTAGCTTAAATCTGTACTGAAGTATACACACCTTACTGTATATAGGATGATAATATAGCAAGGTAAAACATATCCAAGCCACCTTCAGAAGTGTTTCCATAAGCCATTCTTAAAAATATAAAAGGATTCTAAAACCTCTCCAGATAACCTATATTTAATTACCCTTACAGTCTGATTGGTAAATTTCTACAAGCCTATTACTTCATATTATCTTCAGTGGACACAGAAAAAAGACGTAACATATTGTTTCCTTTCGTTATGACCTTCTAATAAATAATAACAACAGCACCCAGCTCTTGCATAATTCTTGTAGTTCTCAAAGCATTTTATAAAAAAAAGCAAATTATAATTACCCCTAATTGTAGTGGCAACTCAACTCTGGCACAGACAAGTGAAGTGATTTGTTCCCCAGCTGGCTATGAGTACAGCCAGGAAAAGACATCAGTTTTCTAACACCTAGTCTGGTGCTTTATTGGGATACACTAAAATACACTCCTACAAAAATCCACATTTTCTGACCTCTGATACCACTAAACATTTTAAAGATGAAAGCCCCATATTACCATGACCATCTACCTACTTAACTACAACAAAATAAAACACTGATAAATAAAGGATTTTAAAAGACAACTAGGAAGATAGTGGTGACTTACTTGCTCCTGTCTGAGTATTCTGTTCTCTAAAATATTTTGATTAGACTGTGATACAAAGGGTCTTTCTCCTGTGTAAAGACCCTCATCCTCCAGGTACCTAGGCTGCATGTTTTCAGGCATCTTCTTAGAAGTGGGCACTAATGAGAAATTAAATAGAAAAGCATTTAAAATATCTTATAACTGTAGTTCTAGTTTATTAATTCTCTAAGAGCCTATGCCATTCTTAAAACAAACAGCACTGCATATTTAAGCATGCTGTCAGAAATATTTTCCTAACTAGGAAAGAAAGAAAGAAGTACATATCCAAAACACGTCCTTGTCTTAATCAGGACAGATCCACAGTTTAAATCTATCATAAAAGCATCACAAGTCTTCTAAACAGATAATTAAACATTTCCTCACCAAAAAATACTTTAAAGTAACTTAGCGGAGTTTAGTTTTAACGGTTGCTTACATAACTATAAAAACGCTTTAGCAGCAACAACTGACTAGACAAACATTTCTAAGCTTTCCCCATATAAACTGAAACTTTAACTAAGATTAATCCGAACTCCTGTTACTATTTGCTTAAGCTATTCTGGTACAGAATACAGAACATGTACAGAAAGTCATGTTAGCCCAAAACCAGCAGCTGGAATTCTTTAAGTCCTGCCTGCAAGATTATTTCACTGGTGTGTGCAGACTCAGTATTTTTCAAGGAGCAATCTCAAAACAGGGAGAGATTATATTGAGGATGACAATAAAAGTTATCCCCTAAATGAAAACACAGAGGACCACACTGGAAGCAGTCAGAACCAAGTGACAAGATACGAAAAACCGATGGCGCCCAATGTCAAATACTTTGACATCGCATTGCAAGCTGTGCCGATACCATTCTGGTACAGACCACCAAGAGACTCATTTCTGTTTCTTCTACTTCAAATATTAAATAGCAAGTGATATTACAAAGCAATTTTTTAGGACTTTGCAGTTCTATGGGAACAAGGCAAAAAGGTCAGAGACATGATCAATGTTGACTAACTACTTCCACTTCACAAAATCCGATTTTGGGAAAAGGGCCCCTTGAATCACAAGAATCCTTCTGTTACTTACAACTGTTGACTAACGTGCCACACAGAAAAAACTGCAGATGTAGCCAAGTGAAGAAACAGTCTAAGTTACAGTGTACAATGCATAAGCCACTCTTGGTATCTAAATGTGTGCATCCAGTAACCTGTTGCATATATTAAGTAATGCAACAGCTGAGCCGCAGTGAAAGAGGGGCCGGCCACCTTCCATTTGCCATAGACAGCGCCAAGATAATTCCCAAGAGCAACTGACCTGCCCCGAGTTCATTCACTCACGTACCAGCTGGTGACCTGCTGAGGTGTGCGTGTTCTTAGTTAATCCACTTTGGCAGATCTTTTCAGACTGGGTTGGATGATCAGTGTCAAGAGAACTACAACTAAATATCTAGCTACTGTCAGAGACAGTCCAACACAAGACTTTTCAGTACATCAAAGGGTACCATGCTATGCAAAATTCAAGAGCAAAATGGATAAGCACAATCTTCATACCTGCTAGCATGCTGGGAGTGAAGAGAAATTCTTTTTCCTTTTTCACTTGCTCAGAGTAGCTTTCACAATCAGGAGGTTTCATTACTAGAAAATCTTCATCTGTTTGCCCTATAATGAATAAATCATCTTTAACTAGGCGTACGTCTTCATCCTATAGTTTAAGTACAAACAACTCTGTTAGTTCACCTGTTTCTTGAAATGGAGATCTTTAGAAAGTATACTTGCAGAATTTTTAAGGAAACAAAGTTGACATTTTGTATTAGATGATTAAAATTAATTCAAATTCTGAATAAAAACATGAACATTTATTCTATAGCTCACACCGTTTCATCCTCCTCTTGTTCATCCTCGTGGGTTTCTACACATTCTTCTTCTGCCTCCTCTTCTTCATTTAATTCATTCCTTTTCCTGGCTCCAGCCTTTCTACTCTCTGGTTCAGGATCAAAATTGAAAGTAAAGAAGTTATACGCTTCCTCAGCGGAAGGAAAATCATTCTGGAACTAAGAAAAGAAGAGAAGGATACTTTAATAATACATTTATAAAAAATTTAGGGCAAATGAAGATATCTTTTCATTAATAATAGTAATAACAGCATGTATAAACACTTGTCACAGGATAATAATTATTTTATCTCAAAGAGAACTCACCCAAATGCTGAAGCTCACTGAAATTTTTAAATGACGCAAGAAACTTACTTCATTGCTGTATTATTATATTATTAAATATTTCTTGCAATGTTTATTTTTTAAAAAGGTTATCTGGTTCAAGCTTAACCAGCCTATTGTTTTAAATATAAACAATTTCTAAATGAGAAATGCCAAAGTTTAAATTCTAGCCATAATGCAGACATCCAGGTGAATGATACGAAGAGAAATTTCTAATGGCATTTTGCCTTTGAAGGACCCAGACCCTTTTAGTGTTAGGATGAATCCTCTAATACAAGAATTAACAGTAGCATTTTCTAATAAATATCAATATTCTAGTCTGTAAATTGCTTTAACTGCCAATTGGTGACATTCAACAGAAAGGAGTTAAACAGAAGAAACATTTTTCCTCCAAGCTCCAGTAACTGTGTCCAGGTGGATTTACTTTATTTTTTTAAATGAAATGACCCAAAGTCATTCTTGTATTTGATGAACGTTCCCTTTTTATACTTCAATTGCTGGCATATATTATTTGTGAATTTTTAAATTAAATCAAACCCTCTTTGCTGCTTGAGACTGAATTCTGTCTGCTTCTTCAAACAGAATCATGAAGTCACATAAAGTTTAAATTAAATTAATAGCAGTTATTAAAATGAAGGAATTGGTACTTACTGTTGACTTTTGCTGAAGCTTTTTGACAGAATCACAAAACTTTATTTTTGATGGTGAGTGGGATTTGTCCTCTTGCATCTCCCCAAATTTATCATTATCAGACTGCACAAAAATATACATAAGTTATAACATACATTTACTGATCTACAAAAAAAAAAAAGACGAATAACTGAATACAGTTAGATACTGTGTTTTCACATTAAAAAAAAAAAGAACAAAAAAGAAACACAGTTACTGTGGTAACAATTATACTGATTTTATTTTTAAAGGGTACATCAACTTAACTCCTTTCTCCTTTGGGTCAAGAAACAGACTGCAGAGTACCAAGAAATCGTCCATTGCATAAATGTTAGTTTACTTTCTTCACTCCTGACAAGATCAGTTTCTGCACTCCGGAACGCAAGCAACCACATGCCCATCTCCACAAGGGGGAGAAACAGGGTAGCAAGAGGAAATCTTCCGTCGACAGATGAGAGGCTGACAGGCAGCACAAGCCCGGCAGCAGTGGTAAGGCTGCTGTGGCAGATACTGCTGACCAAGGAAGGGAATCGAGGCACTAAGACTCATACAGCCCCTGCGGCAACCAGGAAAAACCTAGTTAGTATTGTTCAAAAAAAAGGGGTCTCCGTTCCTTGGGTGCTTAAATGCAGACTTGATTATTTGTTTTGTTCTCTCTCAATCCATTATTGCTAGGCTACTCTAAAACTCCATGGATGATATTCCTCTGCCTTCTCACGAAAGGAGGTAGCAGGGTTTTCTGAAGCCTTATCTGTACCTACACACAGATCCCTGTAAACATCACTGGTTCTGAGGTTCCTTCAGCAAGTTCACTTAAGTGCTTCAGAGCGATTTTTATCTTAGGCCTGGACAACATAAACACATCTAACGTTCTGTTTTTCCTCCTTATGGTCCGAATTCTGGCATTAAAGGAGAACATTTCTCAAGTTTAAATCAATTCAACCTAAACTTCAAAATAATAACAAAAAGATAATCTCAAACCCCGGCAATCTGATAGTCGCTTGTTTAACAACAAAACAATACTTCATACGTGTGTAAATAAGTACAGGAAAGAATACCAGCATGTGGAAGGTTTCAGATACACTTTATATAAACTCAGTAGCCAACTTTAATACGGGTATCACTTCCACATTTTCCTAATACAAACATTAAAACAATACCACTTAACTGAACACTATCATTATCACTTGTTATAAGAAAACACTGCCAAAAACCTCCTCACAACCTCCCCTAGAGGTTGTGATAATAACTTGAGGTAATTCTGCCCTAGACAAGCAATTTAGCCAGGCTAATTCATATTGTTTGGAATGGCAGATAAAAACATTACTGCTACATGCTGTTATTTCCTGGGCACACACGTTCTTTGGAAGACATTTTCTACAGGCAAGCCGTCTCTGTGAATTCTGAAGAATATCTGGGTGCAAGTTCTGCACAGGCATAGCCTTTGTCACTTTTTTAACATAAAATTCATTTTCTAACAAAGAACACGCTTATACTAAAAAAAAAGCTGAATATAAAATAGTTACAAGGAAATGCAACACAGTACAATGACATAAAGTTAATATACAGCCTTTAGCTATTAGACTGTGCAAATTTATATAAAATACTTTAAGGCATCTTAAGCAATAGAAGTCATGAACCTGTAAATGACAGAAGTTTCACATGACTTCCATACTATAATGAAAGCAGACGATTCTTGTTAAATATGTACATTAAAAACAATAATGAGAAAGGTTCCTTCCTCGTTATTAATTCAAACAATAGCAGGATTTTAATCCCATTAAAATAAATGAAATTGATCTTCAAGACTATGCGTAGTCTTTGATTTATTTCATGTTTCCCATTCACTTTCTCATTATCAGAACAGCAAGATCCAGTGCACCTTCTTACCACTTTATCCAGTCTGACTTCTGTTTTCCTTTCTCTGATGCTTTTTAATCGCCTTGGTCGTGGACTGGGGTCTTCCTGCAATAATGTAATCTCTGCTTTTGACTAAGTAAACGGAAAAAAAAAAAAAAAAGACACTTAGCTATAACAGAAATATAGTAAGACCAGAGCTACAATAATTCTCAGGACCTCAACAACTTATGCACATTTGTGTTAGGGACAGAATCTTTTAACTGTATAATCAGCTTAAGTGATTTTACAGACCTAGATGTTAATCCCCCTGATTAAACTGCACAGTAAACTTACAAGGAAATCCATTGATTTCAAAATAGTGTAAAGAGATTTTTTGACAAAACCACAGAAGGATCTTGTAACGATGGTACCATTTGAATTATAAAAAAACGATAATTCTTATATTATTACAAACAAAAAATAGGAACTTTAGAGAAAATACAGCAACAGAAATACACTTGAAAATAATTGTATCACAGAATGGTTTGGGTTGGAAGGGACCTTAAAGATCATCCAGTTCCAAACACCCCTGCCATGGGCAGGGACATCTTCCACTAGATCAGGTTGCTCAAAGCCTCATCCAACCTGGCCTTGAACACTTCCAGGGATGAAGCAGCTACAACTTCTCTGGACAACCTGTTCCAGTGCCTCACCACTCTCAGAGATGAGCCGAGTGTTATTCGGGCATTAGAAATAAAACAGCAAATATCCCATTCAGATTCACATAGCACTAAGCAAGCAAAACGAAGTCGGTGGCACTTGTAAGACTGAAGTCAACCAAACAGGACTTCTGAAGGATTCTCACCTTTGCTGCTTTTAGTTTCTCTCTCATTCGCTCCCTAACGGAAAATTCTGCAAAGCCCGTCCTCGATGTAGAAGGAACAGGTGGCAAGTCTGAAACAGAAAAAACACTGTAACATGTTTAAATTCAGTATTTTCTGAAAGTAACTTAAAATTATGTAAAGTAAAACCATATATACCATACAGAGTCCAATGTTTCAAAAGAAAGAACTTGCATGAGAAAACGTGAAGAAATTAAACATTTTTTGGAATTCAGAGACTATTGACTATTTGACTATTTTGGAATTGAGAGACTATAACTCAAATGCCTTTAACTGTGATGGATCTACCTTTCATCATATACTATGAACCACATTAAGTAAAACGCATACACACTTTTATTTCTATTAAAAGTACATAAAGAATTACCCGGTATTTTATAAGCTGTTAGTCAGAGCTGTCTAGATCTAATTTTGAATGGTGATGTGCACTAAATCCTGATATGGGTGTGATTGGAACCGCAAAGAATTTATAGACTTGCTTCCTTTTTCAGCTTATAGCACCTGCTTTTTGTAGTGACAAAATACTAATTTCTCCAGCGGTGTTTTTGTGCTATAGCTCTAGTACAATCATGAGAGTAAAATGCATTTTACTCTGTCCCATGTATGACTGACAGCATCATCAAGTAACTTCCCATTTCACACACAAGCTACTCTCAGCTCTACTTGTGCCACCCCTCTGGAATCAACAGATCACCTCCTCCAAGCTCAAGAGCAGTCCGTCCCGATACCAAAGAAGTCAAGCAAGACTGTTTGATCATGCAGGAATGGGCTTAGGAAAGCCAGAGCCCACTGGGACTTGAATCTGGCAATGGATATGTGGGGCAACAAGATGGGATATTACAGGTGCATTAGGGGCAAAAGGAAGACTAGGGAAAACAAAAGGTTTATTCTCTATTTGCCATCAGCAGGCGATGTCCAGCCACCTCCCATGAAGTAGGGCTTCAATACGCACAGCAGTTGTTCCAGAAGACAAATGTAATAACGAATGCCTCCCACCCTCCTTTCTCTTAGCTTCTATTGCTGAGCAGACATCATACGGTATGGAATATGCCTTTGGTCAGTTGGGCTCAGCTGTCCTGGCTATGTCCCCAAGATCTTGCCCTCTCCCAGCCTACTGGGTGAGGGGAGGCATGTTGGAGAGACTGCCTTGATGCTGAGCGAGCACTGCTCAGCAGTAGCCGAAACACCGGTGTTTTATCAACACCTTTTTAGCTACCAGTACAAAGCACAGCACTATGAGGGCTGCTATGGGGAAAACACCATCTCAGTCAGACTCAATACACACATTTAAGCAAACTGGGCATACACAAATCCATGGGTCCTAATGGGATGCTCCCATGAGTGCTCAGGGAGCTGGTCAATGTCACCTCAAGGCCACTTCAACTATCTCTAAAAGTTTGTGGTGATAATCAAGGGAGGTTCCTGAGGACTGGAAGTAAGCAAATATCACTCCTGTCTTCAGGGAGATGAATCTGGAGAACTACCGGCAGGTCAGCCTCATATTGATGCCCAAGAAGGTGACAGAGCAAATAATCCCAGAAATCATTGTCAAATATGTTAAGTACAAGATGAAAATGATGAGTCATCAGCATGGATTTATGAACGGGAAAAACTTCTACCTGACCAATAGGACAACTTTCTACAATGAGATAATTGGGTTAGTGGATGAAGGGAAAGCAGCAGATGTTTATCACCGTTTCCTTTAACACTCTTACAGACAAAATGATGAAATATGGACTACGTAAGTAGGCGGACTGAAAACTGGCTGAACTGTTGGGCTCAAAGGGTTGTGATCAGTAGTGCTAAGTCCAGCTGGAGGCCATCACTACACCTGTACTCCTGAAGTTGATTTCAAACAAACAAACAAAAAAATCCCACAACCCACCCTCCGATTCCAAGAACTCATCAAAACTCTACATCCTTTAGAATTACATATTCTCTCCAGATCCTGTGAAACACACAAATCTGAGTTTTAAATCAGTAGCATATATTTAGACTTTTTGATAGATAGTAAATACCAGGTTTGGACAGACTTGGGCAATCATGTGATTGCAGAAAAGGAGAATTATTGTTTGTTGCAGCCCTTGAACCACTGCTCTGCAAAAGCCCAGGCTTTTCTTTCGTAACTAAAACTTAATGAGAATGCATCTTTGATAACCAAACTTATCAGGGCCTCCTTTTCCTTTGAAGGACTGATGGCATTCCTCTCCCTTGTCTTCCACGTATCAGATCCTCTTAGATTATGACTTCTTCATAATACCGGTGACCCCATACCCTCCTGTATTCCTTGATACCTAAATAAAGAGAATGAATACTTATCCTGTTATTTACAGAGAAGCTACTCTCTTGGGGTCAGAAATACAAAGGAGTGGATACCTACAACTTATCCTCTCCTATAAACACATATGGAGAACATTTTAAACATACAATATAAATGAGATTGTACGTGTAAGCAAATGGCAACATTTCCAGCAGCTTTATGTATTAAGCACACTTAAGGTGTCTTCTGCATGGTATTTTGAGAAGGTATCCATCTCCCTCTCACGGATCACCCTATCATTGTAAAAGAGGCAAGGCCACTTGACCCTTCTATTGTCTTTTACTAATTTTTTAGTCACTCTTTATAAAAGCCTCCAGAATATTTTTAGCTGAAAGCATAGTTTTATACACCTAATAGCTTAGAAAATCATCACTTGAGGATTTTTGGTTTTGAAAGACCTAACTTCTTTCTTCATTTACAAAACTAATTCTAGCTGGGCAATTGTCTCCCCATCTGCACAGACCTCTTCAGTCTCACTGGAGCCCTGAAGTTCACCTGGAAATTCTCAGGAGCTTATTGAAAATTTAACTTTGATATATGCAATATTAACTTTTTAAAGATAAATGCTTTACACTCCTTTGTATATGTGGAATCTTCAGATCTTATTTTTTTCTCCTAGACTTTTGTAACCAGCTTTTCTTTCCAGAAGGAGCTGCATCGTTTCACACAGAATACACTAGCCCTTTTACTGGAACAACAGTAAGATGACTAGCAGGAGAAAACTGTAGCTCTTTCTGCACATGTGCTTTGTGGTGTATGGCTTTTTTTTTTCTGTAATTTTTAATCAGTGAACACATGACATTCTAGGTAAATAAGTTTTTCTAGTTATCTCCACTTACATAATTATATTACTTGTCAGTTCTTTGAGCCAAACACTGATTTGTATTTTACCTTTACGAAAGAACATTGTTTGCCAAGGTCTAAGCAAAGGGTAATTTCAGGTTTATTTAAGGCATTAAATTCATGAAAAGGAGATAAAACAGCAAAGGGTAAGGGCTTAGAAGTGGTAATGTCACACAACATATATCACATTATGGCTGATTCAATATTATTCCAAGAGCTTTACTGGCAGCAGCAAATACTGTATGTTGAATACACAACTTAAACATTTAAAGGCTGCCTACTACACCAAAGTCAAAGTGCAATCTAATTTCTAGGATGACCTTAGTCCACTGTCATTTAGAAAAGAAATTACATTAAGATAAACCCAGCTAATACTGATTCTACGCAGAAACATCAAAAGATTTGGGAGAACTCTAATCTTTTCAAATTACACAATTTACTGCCTGTATTTGTAAAATGAAGCATTCATTGTATCTAGAAACTTTCAAAAGAAAGAACAAGGCACAAAGTATCACTAGCATGAGACACATAAGAGAAAAGCAAGCATCCCATAACCACTTTCTTACCAAGAGGAATACCAGAGACAGAAATAAGCAAGTATTCAGTAGAGACACTAAGAGGTGACAAACAGAAAAGCCTATTTGCATTTTGTCTTTTCTAATAAGGAACACGGTATAAGTAAGAACATAGTAAGAATTAACGACAAAACACAGAACAAGGTCTAGATAAACATTCATCAGACTGAGCTAATTAAAAACCATCGTTGCAGGGTATCCAACAACGAAGTGGCTGCAGCAACATCAGAACTGTCAGTCATTCTGAGAAGTGATGGAGAATAGGCAAGTTCCAAAATCCTGGGCAAGTGCCTTTTTTAAGAAAGCGGAAAGAGCAATCTGCAGAAGCATACAAAAGTCAGTCTAACTTCAACTCTACAAAAAAGACAGCCTGTTTGTAAATATTTAAAAGACAGTGAGATAACAGGCAACAGAAGGCCTGGATGAGCCAAGATCAAGACCTAACAAGCTAATTTAATGTTCTTCAACATACATTTCACTCATTCTTGTGAATAATGAAAAAAGCATACATCTCAACTTTTGAGCCTGCCTAACAGAAAGCATCTCTCAGTAGGAAATATTTTGATGAAATGACAGGATGGGTGAGGGGAAGGGAGCACATGCAAGTGACTAGAAAACCTCAATGAAAAAGATAAGCAAGTAAGTTAATAAATTCAAACCCCATACTGAGTTGGTATTTTCAGAGTCTGCCTCAATCTGATGCCTTTAAAATATCTATTAATGGTTTAAACAATGGAATAATGTCTATCTGTGTATAAAACAAGCAGGCAAGAACTGTCAGAAGTCACGTTTGCTCAAAGACTGACTGTAAGAAATTTTTGGAATGGAGAAAAAACTTCAACATCTTTTACAACTTCAAGCACATAAAAGGTTGGTTTTCTACCATTGTATCCTGTTCAGTTAGAGTGTAAAAACATCTTCTGTTTCATTGAAACAAACATTTTCTATTTCATTCTGATAAACGAAAACTAGAAAGCAACAGCTTAGAATCTGCCTTTGATCTTCTGAAATACTTGGACAACTGCTTGCAAACATTTCCAGACAAGCCAGGTTAAAGTGAACATCATAAACATGCAAAATTAGCGCAGAAACAATCTGCCACTGCACCTCTTAAAGCATCAGAACTGATGATCTCTATGCAGAATTCTTTAGGAATGAGTGAGTTCCTTGCAACAACAGGGAAATTATCCTTTCTATATATAATGAAAAACATTTTAAGGCTTTAATAGTTGCCGTAAAATTAATTCAATGTATCAATTATTGTGAGATACTGTGGTTCCTTGAAAAAAGGACCACAAAAAAAATA